GTGAATTGTAACTGCAGCTTTAAAGGTAGCCCTGGCCACAACAGAGAAAACTTTGCTTAATTTGGAGCGCTAATAAAAGCACTGTCTAACGGGAGACGAGGATTCTGCTCCCTCCGTTTGAAGTGCATCTACTTTAATCTCTCTGTGCCTTGATTGTAAACGAGGGTTAATAACATCGCCTCTGGCATAGAGCGCAGGAGTCGTGGTATCTGTAAAGTGTGAGACTCAGATGGAAAGAGGTAACAAGTGCAAAAGGCTAATACTTTGGGGAGATGTTACGAATAAATGTTTGACTTCCAGTTGAGATGGGGTGTTTTGGAATGGTTGATGTGCAGTTCATTGATACCAAGTGCCAGGAAGTCAATATCAGGGAAGGGGGGGCTGGAAAGAAAAGTAAGTGGTGGTTTCATTTTGTTTATAAATTCAAGTTATGACCTGACCAAAAAAAAAATACCTGGTAGTAATTAAAATGTTCTTTCCCAGAATTGGTGTGTTGTCTCTTGAAGGAGACCTTTGCTATGGTGTGTTAAATGAGAACCAAAGGTTCTTTTAGACAGATATTGAAAATATTGAACTTGATTGAAAATATTGAACTTGTCCGTCAACCATTTCATCAAATCACAAAGACCTAAAATTTCAAGTTACTGTTTATGGAAAGGGTTAGTAAGTTTTCCTGTTTCTTCAACGAGGGAATTAATCTTCAAGGAGAGGCACTCTGATTATTGTCCAGTTCTTCCAAAAAGGATGAGAGAGGTGGTGGATGGGCTGAAACTTTTTTTTTTTCTTTCTAATGCATTATATACCTTTTTGTTGAGGAACATAAACAGAATCTTTTCCACTGTGGCTGAGGCTTAGTAATTTTACATCAACAGGTCTCTTATCTCAGAACAACATTGTTCATTTGCTAAGTTTGACTCTAAAAATGTAAGAACACGGCAGTATCAGAAAAGAAGAATAAACAAACTCTTAAACTCCCATGCTATTGAAGTGGGGATAGTAACATGATGATGACTTTATCTGGAAATCCAGGACATTGGTTAGGGATGGCGAGGTTATTAAACATTTAGAGAAGGATTTGGAGTGCATGTGTCAGTTGCTGTTCCCCGCACAATGGGAACACGCTTGTGCCACCCTTGTGTGAGATTTGTTGCATAAATGCAGTGTCTAAAAACTGCAAGGGAGTTAGCTGGATGCAGTGATTTCCGTATAAAGCATTTTGCATATTCTTTTCCTTGCCTTTGAGGAAGGGCTGAGGTTAAATTAGATTTTATTTCAAATTGCTCTCATTTTTTCTTTTAGTTAATATGGTGAATTTTAATATCCCAGGCAAAAGTGTGTTGCTGAATTAAGGAAAATGCTTCTGCTTTATCTTAATTCAGTTCCTTAATTGCTAGCAACTAAAAAACCAAACCAAACCGTGTATTCTCACACTGTCCTTTTGTAGTGTGGCCAGCCAGTGTCTAAGTGGTAGTAATTAGGAGTGCGAGGAGCCAGTCCTGTGACATGGTCGGTCAGGATGCGTCTCTGAGCGAGCACTGAGAGAACCTATTGACTGGCTGGCTTGTTTGCTTTCTGGCAAGTAATTTCCTCATCTACTCTCCACAAAATCTTTTCAGAAAAAGGCAGTGACTAATTTTTGTAATTTGAAGCAGAAATTGTTACTGATGTAAAATCTGTGTTCATGGATTCTTTGACTCCTGTGTTTCTGAAACATAGCAACAGTTTTGCTCCATCTCACCAAAGCAATTTTCTCAGGACTTCCGAACATACCAGAGCTCCCATAGCAGGCTTCTCCACAGCTCCTTTTTCTCAGCAGATTAAGTGATCTCCAGTAAGCTGGAACCATGTCACCGTACATTTTGTTCTTTTCCCTAGCTTGAAGGCCCACGGCTGGAATTGCGTTCGGGTATTTTCAGAGCTAAATTCACTGCTGACATAAATAGACACAACCCTATAGGAATCAGGCCCATGTGCCCCGGCAATGAATTTGGCATACAGACTAGCGCTGAACTGGCCCAACTCAAAGCTTCACGTTTTGAGCAGGGACTTCAGGAGAAAGAATAACAGTTATGATGAATTTGTCCTCATTTTGGATTGATTTTAGTTTTATGTTGAACTAAAAATTGTAAATATCCCCTGGGCATTAATCTCACTTACTAGATACATTGCATACCAAGAACTCAGTCTTGATTTGCAGTGACTGGGATGTCTCTGGGTATTGTACTGTGAGCTTTCCTGAACTCTTTCCTCCCCCCGATGCAAACTGATTTTAGTTGCATCAGGAGTGATGGATTTTCCACTGCCCTTTGGCTTTCTTTTTTCTTTCACTTGGCAAACATCACAATGTTGCAGCTCAGCTACCCAGTCAGTTTATGGGTTTGTGAATCGGGGATTGTTTTTCGCTTATATTCTTAAAATTAAAGCATTTCTCATAGAAGAGGAGATGCGCACAAAGGAGTTTTTCATTTAACACTTCCATTGCTCTTTTTCCCAAAATTGCTGCTGAAGAATTGTAGGTTTGCTGGTAACTTCAGACTAGCACAGCTAACGACCTCTTTCTGGTAACTATCACACAATGACAAGCTTTCTTCTAAACTCGTATTGTTTTGAATATTGGACATTATTGAATATTGGAAATGTTTTGGGAGGGAAGAAGAAATGTTGATTACGCTTGAATTTGTTTTACCTGGCATGAATGTTTCTGTTGGAATTCATCTCCAGTACAGTACTGCTTCTCCTATGTGGCTGGTGTTTTTCGAGGAAATCATAGGCCTAAAAATAGTCTGCATAAACAACAGTAAGAGGTTTGTACTTTCAGTTCCAGGTTTTAGAAAAGTCTTGTTGTTGTTTTTCTAATTGTCAGAGTTTCCAAAACCCGTAGAATGTATTATAAAAGTAGAGCGAATATTTGTGGAAGCTTACTATAAAATGTTGCTCTTGGGTGAATATAGCATGGAAAGGCTGGATGCTTCAAAATTGCATAGGTGACTAATATAACTGTTTGTAAAATAGCAGGAATTCCTCCATCAGACATCCTCCAGCTTCTGAAATGTAGGTTGTCACCACACGTTATTGAGACTGCACTATTAAAAGCAGAATAACATTAATGAGCGTAGAGACATTTCTACAAATCTAAAGCCATAGTAAATTTGCATATTTAACACACTTCTTTACATTAAACAGTCATTTTGGGCGGGGTGGAGGGGTGTAATTATAAGTGAGCCCGGAAGAGAGAAGATAAAAATCCAGCATGTGAAACAGCACTAAACACTTCCCCACACTACTCTTTGTATGCTCACCTCCCTTTTTGCCTTATGATCCTTGAAAAACTTTGTCTGTAGGAGCTGGAGGGTTTTAAAGTTTTAATTATTTTTAATAACATGTTTGTGTTTCCTAAGGTAAATGTTATAAAAGTCTGACCTGGATCAGTAATGATTGAAAAATCTTTTCAGTGTCCTGCCAAATGAATTGATCACCTTAGTCCAGGTTGTAGCAGACAGTGACCACAACACAACACCACCTTCAGATTGGTCTGTCTCAGCCATCTGTTAGCAGTACTAGAGCGGCTGGCTAGTGATTAAATAAGCCTGGGGACAAGGGCACAGATCAACAAAGAGATTAATTTCAGTAGGAATTAGGCTTCTAAATACCTTTTCTGCATTGTCAGAAGCATGAGTTTGTGTGTACACATGCATCTGTAGGGAAAAGCTTGAGTTTCCACTCAGCTCGTTGTGTTGTCCTTGTTCTTCTGCAAACTGGAATTTGGTTGCAAGGAATCCCATGTGTTGTCTCGCGAAGGCACATTGCTCCTAGGATGGTGATAAATCATGCGTTACCAACAAAGGTAACTGCAGGCACTTCTTGGTATTTCAGTAATACAAAATGGAAGGTGTCTGTGTTGTCCTTGATACCTGTTTGTGTTGACAGGTGTAATGCAGAGATGTTGGTAGCATCAAATCTGAACTATGCTGTAGGCAGTAAAGCTAAAGATTTATGAAAGTCTAGAGCTGAGAAGGAAGACTAACTTTGTTAGAAATTAACTGCCTGCCTGCTTGTATGCCATAGAATCTATTCCATGCAACCGTGGTTTACTGTAGCAAGAAATAAGCATGCATGAATGGGTTTTCTTGATAGATGTCTGAGCAGTTTTAAACAGCTTTGTAGCATTTTTGGAGGCTTTTATGCATTAACTCTGCTTTAAAACCAGTTGTTTGCAAAGGAGGTGCATCCTGGGATTTTTGCTCCCAGTTAAAATGAAAGAAAATCAGAAGGGTATGATTTTCTAGAGCAGTGGTGTTCAACCTTCCAGCCTCATGGGCCAAAAGAATGGTAGGGGACCAGTCCGTGGGCCAGATCAAGAATGGGGTCAGCACGTGGTTGGTTTATGCATGTGGTCTGTGTACCAGCCCAGCCCTGTGTGCCAAATCTGGCCTTGTCCAACCCCGCCGTGCAGATGTGATCCAGTGTGCAGTTGGCAACAAAACAGAAATAAACACAGTTCCTCCATTTTTAACAAACTGCCGTGCAGTGAGATTTTAAAAACAACGTTCGTATCTTACTTTGAGTTTATTTTGCCTGAATTTGTTTGAATTATATTAATGTTCTAATGTTGACAATAGATAATGTTAGCACCATTTATGTCAGTATATGGGTATTTCTATTTATTGACACATGTTATTAGAATGAAACTTTGTGATTTAAATGGAACTATTTTGTTGAAAATTGTAATGAGATTAGCAGGCTACATGATTAAAGTTGTGTTTCTGGCCCTCTGCTGGATAGTGATAGAAAATGTGACTCATTAATATTGCATGCTATATGCAATATATACAGTTTAGCATTTTTTTTAAGGAGATATGAAATGCAAAAAATACACAGTTACCATAGGAGCTGTTAGTTAAAACACCTAAAAGATATTCTACTCCATATATTGTAATTAAACTTTAAATATAAATCTCATAATTTGACAATGAAAAAGTTACACTTTATTTTTTTTCCAGCTTTCTAGACAAGATTGACATAGTCAAACAAAATGAATATACACCATCTGACCAGGTGAGCAAAGTTTCACTATGAAATTCTAAAGTAAACCTTCAACTCTGTCTTCAGGGGTAACTAAGTTTTGAATTTTGCACTACATTTTTTAGCTCTCTCTTGTCCAGTTGGCAGCTGTGGTCACTAGTGTAGCTATGGTCACATGTGCTGTACAATGTTGAGTAGTGCAATGAAAATTAACTTTACATTTTATATGTTCTGTGTCTCAACTCAAGTGCATCAGTGGCAATGTACTGTGAAATGAAAAACTGCACAGGTTAAAGTATATCTCAGACTTCTGTAACAATAAAAGCCATCCCTTTTAAGCATATGAACTGGAGAATAGCAGTAACTAAATCCTCTCCCTGAATATTTGTTATACACATTGCTTTATGTCTGTGATTTGGTTTGTGTTTTCTCAGTGCTCTGTCTCCTGCTATAAGCTAGGTCTTTACCATCAGGTTTGGAGCCACATAACTCTTGGTTAAGGATAATTTCCAGTCCTTTTTGCGTATATTACTGTAAAATAAAAGCTAAATTAAATAGCAGAATAGCTTACCAGCCACAAATCTCTCCATTTTAATGTAGTATGTTCTGCAAGGCTGCATTCTTTTAGTGAATATGAGGTTAAATGCATTTAGTAATTAAAAGGAACTATCATCAGGACTGACTCAACTTCCTTTGCAAATGACACCCATTTCAAGTTTGGAACAGCGTGTCCAGTTAGCAGCAGTTAAATACCAAGCTTTCCAAAACCACAGACACCCTTTGCTCAATCAAAGTGAAGTGATCCAATTTTCATTACATTCCTACAGCCATTCAGAATAACTTAATTATTTACCAAAAAATGTGTTTTTAAAATACAATTTGGACCTTAATTTCTAAAACTTAATACTGTGTTACAGTATGAGCATTTAAATGAGCTGTGAAACCTAATGATAAGAAACTGGATGAGTTGCTATACCATTACATGCAAGAACTTGGGACAGGCAAAGCACTCGGCAGTTGTTGTTCTTTCATACTATGTGGCATGTGTTTTGAATACATAAGCAAAATCTGCATTTGCTGACTTGTGAGAGAGTTGTATGTGTGGCAGGCTTTGATTCTATTTACTAACTTGTTCTTCAGCATCTCGCGTTGTCATGTACTTGCCACTGTGACAAAAGCCGAGCCCAACAAATAGATCCCCACAGGTGGATTCTTTTGCCCATCTGGAGCCTTGGAGCACCATATGGGTTCTGGGATCCACCTTCACGGATCTGACTGAGATCAGGGCCATATCAGACTTATGAGCAAGAAAAGAAATGGAGACGTCAACATTTTTTAATATTTTAGTGTTTAGAAAAGCTTTGTTAATTTGCAAGGTTCAAATCACATGGAACAGAATAAGATCCTATATGTGAACTGGCTGGTCTTCATAAATAAAGGATCTTGTCCCATGCCTGGATCCCTACAATCAGACCTCCCATTCCACTCCAGCATTCTTGTTTAATTCCCTGAGGGCTGTAGGGATCTCATTGCAAGATCTAGGACTGAGGTTCCAGCAGTGAAAAGTCAGTCTGAGGCAGAACAAAAAAGAAGAACCTTCTGCCAGATAGCATTCTCTTTCAAGTGCAATTCCTTCCCACAAAGGAAAGCAGCTTCTGGAGTTCACATTGAATATTTAATATAAACTTCCCTGATTTTGTAAGTTTTCTGATTGCAGGCGATAATGACATGAATTGCAATTCTTGTTCAGGGTTATTTCATCCTTATTTGCAGGAAGGATGTAACAGTACAAGCATACTCTTACCTACTTAAAACTCTTTTTCTTTGTCCCATATGAAAGCATTCGTTACAGATTTCATCCAACAATTCAGTGGCCCATTTAGTCACACTGGAAAAGAGATTTGTACGTAGGTGTCTATCAGTGCGCTTTCTTCTTTGTCAGACTATAGATTGTAGTCTTCATGTAGCAGGCAAATGTATGAGGTTTTGTTGAAGGATCAGGTCCCCAGCCCCAAACCAGGTATATGCTTAACTTCTTGCATATGCAGAGCCCCATTTAGCCTCACAGGAATTTTATGGGACAGAGGGGCAAAAAATAAAGAATTTTTCCAAAATTTTCTTGAGCACCACTGATGAGAGAACAGTTTAATATCCCTTGCTCCTGAGGTTAAATCGCATAGGAATGAATTCAATATATTCCTCAAAGGCTGAGTTTCTTATAAACTACTAAGTCATTTATCTCTATTTCCAAGGAGTTTTTTAAAAAGTGAAAAAAGTAATATAAAATTGCCTAAACAGTTTTTCTGAACTGGGAAGGAATTTATAAAAGCTCAGTGCTTCAATTTTTCTTGTTGGAGCAGGGCTTTGCTTGTAATTATTTATTCTGGGCTTGCTGGGGCCACTGACTTAGGGGAGCCCCATACGGACACCAGGTGATAAAGATTGAATGATGTTCTTCAGAGCTGGATGTTTTTGGTCTGTGTTTTTGTTCTGGTGTTATTCTTGTTCTGATGATGAAAGCTCTGAACAATTGCTAGATTTTTCATGTCTAATATTGTAATTACTGAAAAATTTTAAAAAGCATTCCTAACAAGTAAATGTAGTTGAACAGTATTTCAATGCATATATATATATTCCAGTATAAAAACTGTTAAAAATAGCAAGATTATAATTCACTATTAAAGAAATGATTAATATGTAGCCATTTTGTTTAATGATTTAACAATATAGTATAACCTTTGGATTTTGTATGGCTTTTACTCTAAGCTTAAAGAATGACTAATTTATGATTGTTTTACTATAATACTAGTGCAATAGAGAAGTAGCTTTTAATGGGCATATCAATTCTTAAACATTGTACTTCACTCTCATGGTCTTATCTGTATGATACAAATGAAAGAACCAAGTCTGAGCAGCACCAGAACTTCAAGCCTTTGGTTATTCAGAATGGTATTTGCTACCAGAACATGAACTTTCATGTTATAATTTTATATTAAGCTTGAATAAAATTGTGTTAATTTGTTAATTCTCCTGGAGGCTTTCCACGTGCAGATTGCTGCTTAACCCAACAGATAAAATTGATGGTGGCTTTAACTTATTTTGTTGGGCAGCTTATTATGTTGGGCTGTGTAACAACTTTCCATCTTTAGAGCCACCTTTGTTTGTTTAGCAGCTCCAAAGATCTGATTATATTTTGTGTATCTACAAGAAAGTTCAAATAAAACAGATTTTATAAGGTTTCCGTGCCTAAAAGATTCAGGTGCTTGACTGTCCAGCTCTTACTCTTAATGACTAAGGAGCAAATTCTGAACCCTGTGCCTTTCCCCTGGTTTGAATTATAGCCAAGTGCTATAGCCAACCTTGGTAGCCAAGTACTAGGCAGTTAGGGGGAAATACAGAAGAAATGTTACCTGAAGAGCCCTTCATGAGAGTTACTGAAGACCAAGGTCTGGAATGTCTCCTCTTACCTGAGCGGTCCTAGCCCTTTACTTTGATGCTGCTCTTCAGAAAAGCTGAATAGCAGCCAACCTTTGATTTCTTACCATAGGGTATACTGCTGCTTAGTGGAAGAAATTAGTATCCAATTTTGCTGTCTTATATTTTAAACAGTTATTTCCACCTCCCATTCCCATTGAAGTTAAGGGACGTGGTGAGCTATCACCCCCAAACATAAGTCTTGTTAGTAAATTCTTTAAAGATCCAGGAGATGCCAGCTGCTGAGTACTTGCATTCGCCAAAGTGGGAGCTGCATGTCAGGGTTTGGTACTTTGGCTCTGATTGTGGAAATGCTTACATTACAAGTTAAGCATTTGCAGACTGTTTGAAGGATTTTGTTATCTTCTCTGTGTTCGCTGCAGCACTGAAGTTGTTGCCAGTCAGTCATAAATAAATAATATTTTTTCTTTTCTGAGCTTGAAGGTTTGGAGAATGATTTAATCAGTGCTGTGAACCAATGGCTGTTCCCTTGTTCTCTAGGACCTTCTCAGATGCAGAGTTTTGACATCAGGAATATTTGAAACCAAGTTTCAGGTGGACAAAGTAAACTTTCAGTAAGTATCCTCTTTCATTCCGTGTGTTAAAGTGCTACATCTGGGTAATATGAATTAGCAAATTGGAGAAGAGGCTACTGTAGTCCTGTTCATATGTTGGAGACCACTTCCCTACTGCTGAACTTAATGCATAATGGCAAGCAGGTATTTTCACATATTTCTGTTCAGAAACTTCATAGCTTATGGTTTAAAAATACCATACACATTGTTTTGTATTTTTCTGCTTTTGATTTCCTCAGGTATATTTTTTTCTAAAGCTTTTTGATTATTTGATTCTCCTTTGTTCTATCTTTGGGCAGGGGGCTGGACTCGATGATCTTCCAAGGTCCCTTCCAGCCCTAATGTCTACGAAATCTTATGAAATCTAAATCTTTCCATAATGTTGAAAATAAGTTTCCTGCTGATTCTGTCTTTTTTGGCAAATTTCTTGTGTTTTAAATGGAGCTGACATTAAAATGGATGCTTTTTTTTTTTTGGTAGCAAATACATATCTAACATTTTATCTTGCCAAAATATGTATTGTGCTCTGGAACCATCAAAGTCAGGAGAGGGAACTGAAAAAAAGTGTTTTTTCTAAGTAATGCAAAAAAAGCAGGGTCATATCAATTTTAATTGCTCAATGATACTTATACATTTAAAAGGTGACATATATAAAACCAAATTCCGGCTTGTCTTCATTCAACTTCTGTCATTCTTGCTGGGAATTGTACATGGTCTGAGCAGAAGACATAGGTTTTGACAATGATCATTTATGCCCCAGTGTGTGCCTGTGGAGAACCCTGTTGACATCAGTGGGACTTTACATGGTCTTAGGTGTTTGCCCATAACAGTCTTGCTTTCAGGATCTAAAACTGCAATCTGGTTTTGTGAGCTTTTGCAGAAAGGCACTTGGAAGACATGAATTTCTTCGCTGTCTCCATTCTAATCAAACAGCAAATTTTAGAGTTGGAATTTTTTAGAGACATTTTTCATTATTTAGTTCAGCCTTATCTCAGTTCTGGTCTAACCAGTAATTTGAAACAATTAAATTGCTGCTAAGACTTCTGTAGTCTAAAGCCCCACTATACAGGACACTGCCTCCCATGTTACAATGTCTCAATGTTGACAACATGTTTTCTGAACTCCCTTCACTGTTATCACTGTTGCAAATCTAAATGGTCATTCCCACGTCACTAAACAAACATTTGGGTACAAATCAGACGCACGTGTGAGTTCAGTTTTGCACGCACAACAGAATATCTGGAACACCCTATTTTGAGTGTGTTCTTGTGTCCATGAATGTCTTTTTCCTTAGTGCTTTCTTCCCTTCTTTTATATGTTTTTTTTTAATCTTTATCTGAGCTATTTTCTTGATTTTTTTCCCCCCCCCCC